AGTACTTACACCTCATTTCGTCTCGTGTATTTCATGAAAAAAACGTCTGCGCCTTCACTCTTTCCAGCTGATCAATTTCTGGATATTCAAAGGAAAATGAATATTATCAGGATACATGTTATGCTTAACCATAGCTATTCTTAACCATACACGTATACAATTCACCGATTCTCCGTCTCTTTCCGGAAGCATTCACTAATTACGGTAACCTGAGTCATCGGACTGAACTGATTAGTTTTTCTAGCCCCAGATATTTGGTACTACGGAAATATTCGACCCCTTCGCGCATTGACGAATTTAAATCAAATATCTCTCCTGGATGTTGTGGAAAACGATGAATGAAAAATGTTGGATAGTNCAAAAATGTTGACTTCCCCGAAATTTTGAATCGCAAATGAAACAGAGTAACGTCACCACAGATGACCAAGAAATCAAAGTCTTTCGATTATGGTACCATGATAAACACGAAGAACTAACTTGGAAGAAATGTCTCATCCAGTGGGTCTCATCGCATTTTACCACTTCAAATTGTCAACCATCTGCAACGTGTTCTTATAACAGGTCTCTCATTACCTTTCGTCAGTCTGTCGTCATTTAGTCTATTAAGGTTGACCTTGACCGAGCTCTTTTCCTTTAGCTGGAGAGGCAGATGTTCCCATCCTTTAAGGCAGTGCTTTACAAAGAGGGGTGCCAGATAGTATTCTAACAAGATGATGATAGATAACATTTCATTAGGTATACATTTCGGTTATCCTTATCTTTGTTGTTATATAAACTAGGATGTGAAGACGCTGAACATTTTAGGGGTGCGAGGCATAATAAAGGTTGGAAAATACTGTTATAAGGAAACTGGTGAACGATAGGCGACGCTGCATGATTTCACATCCGATCCATCTTCTCATTCCGCTCATCTCTCCATTTTTGTCATCGGAAAATGAATGTTTTAATCGACATTTTTGATAAAGTCGGACACTTTCAAGAGATGCCTTTGAAAAAACGTTCGCTGTATTTAAAATGAAAACTGAATTTCACAGAGCTTTCCATTCTCTACACGGTGTTTTTGCCTTGTTTTTTGCCTCTTGAGATATTATCCATACCGTAATTTCACATTAAAACAAACAGCATCACAATTTTTGATCTGTCCAGATCATTTAAAGAGATAACTTCTGAGAAAATGTTTTGCAGAATGAAATCTTGTACTTTCCAAGCTCTAAAAAATTATCAATATTTGCTGCGTCAATCTTGAAATTATTTTATAGAAATCGAAAAACTTTTCGTTATTGCCGTAACTGTTTAATATGTGTTGGCTTCACTCTAAGTCTCTGATCATTTTTTCGCGAACTATGCCGACGCTTTTCAACGTTAATAGAATTACGTCACCATAGATCTCATGGTTTGTACGCAAGTCGCCATAAGCGCATGTCGCTTGAAGGAGGGCGGAGTGATGAGCGCATCACGCAGAAAAGTGAACAAACACTGAATAGAGCAAAGGAGGAGAGGTTTTATACAAGCCAATAAACAGTATTTTTAAGTCTCAAAGAATATGAAACCAGTCAGATAAGAATCGAGAAGCGGTCAACAATTGGAAAATGATAGGTGATATTCTTAGAAATGGGTGCATAAAAACACAGTTGTTGCATATGGAATGAATCTAGATAACGTTCTTTCACTGAAAATCAATCATGAACTTTTATAAGTTTACAGGTTCATTTGTCTCCGAATCAAGCACATTTCATTGCGCCGATCCTTGTAAGAGTCTGGGCAAAATGAGCTGGGCAAGAAAAGCTGAATTTGAGGGAGGATCCTCTTTTTTCTTTCTTCCTTCCTCCTTTTTCCCTTCCTTCTTCCACTTTCTTCTCCCTTCCTCCTCTCGTTTTCCCCTCTTTTTCCATCTGTTTTTCGCTTTTCCTCCTACCCTCCAGCGAAGACCGCGTGTTTCATGTGCCCCTTGTCTGTCCTGCTCTGCTGGCTTCGACTTGGGCCGATCTGTATGGTACATGAATTTTCAACCCTAATCTCCCCGATGTACGAGGAACTGATAGTAATAATTATAGCAGTGATAATAGTAACGATACCAAAAAATTAATGATTTCATTAAGAAAGACAGTAATGTTGCTATGAACAGCGGTAGTAGAATCGTGATTTAATAACATTTGAGAAGAGTAGTTACATTCCTTCTCGGTGATGCGATTCTAATTCGAAGATTTGATTCTGATACCAACATATCCCAATAGCCTTTTCCATGGTAACTTCTAGCTTCCAGGTAGAAAAAAAAGCGTTTTTCGCTGTTCAGATCCATGGGATCGCGTTTGGTAATATGAGTCGAACCTGAACCCCGCCGAGTCAGATTGGGCTTGAAAAAATGAGGACTGAAATCCACTGATTCGGATTTGTGGAATTCCACATATTCTCGTGTTGTTGCATGAATTCGGGCTCAAGATGTTGGCATGCGAGACCATGACCTCACATCAGTTTCCAGACTGCGCTCAGCACTACATATGAGATTGTTTTTCGCTGCAAAAGCTCGATTTGTCGTCATCTGCTAATACTTCATCA